CTCCCATGACTGCTGCGCTGCAGTGGAAGGACAACAAGGACGCGTGTCCCCACAGGCACACAGGTGCAGGCACGCTGCCACACGCTGCGGTTTCAGCCGGCAGGCAGCTGAGCAGCACCCGGCCGTTCGCTCACTCCGCCCCTGCCCCCAGTGTGCCATGGGGGAGAGAGCTGTAAACAGCCTCGAGGGCAGATACAAACAGAAAAGGGCAGAAAGCAGTTACAGAAATTCAGATGATAACTGTAGTGTGTGCATCTCCACACACATTCACAGCCTTTTCGCACACGTTCTGATAAGCAAACCTGAGTCAGCTGGCTCTCACCCTGCGCTTGCTGGGAGGATCTGCACTTCTGGGGACACCTCCGTTGGCAGTGGGAAGAGCACCCCGTGAAAGAGCTCCCTGTGACACCAGACACATCGGGCCGGGGGCTGAGCCACCTCCTGCACTTGTCTGTTACTGCAGTCTGTAAGGACCCGCAGCGGCTGAGGGCAGGATTCCCATCCCTGACGTATGCTCCCGAAGGACGGGTGCCGAGCAGCCGTCCTGCCCCATCAGCTCCGTGCCACCGCTGCCATCAATCAAGGAGGAATGGCAGCCAGAGCCGAATGCCTGGCCGTGCTGAGCCCCGATGCCTCCTGCCGGAGCTCTGCACCACGAGCACAGCGGGGCAGCAGTGACGCCCAGGTGCTGCCAGCGTCCCCAGCCCGCAGCCGCGTTCCCCGGTGCCCGCTGAGCCGTGCCGCCATGCAGTGACCCTGCAGCGGGGCCGGGCGCTGCGCCACGTCCCAGCCCTGCGGACAGGCAGTTTCGCTTTTGAAAGCGGCCGCGCACCCATTGCACACTTCCTCCTTCCCCACACCGGGCTGCACGCGGGGACACGGGCAGGGACAGCTCGGCCTGCAGCCTTCCTTCCCCTGTGCAGTTGGGGTTGCTGTGCTGGCCTCGCAGCAGCTGCACAGCCCTAGGACTGCAGCAATCTGCAGCTGTCCCTGTGTCTGCTCCTGCAGCAGGACAGCAAAGTGAGGCAGCAAGACCTTCCTGCATGCTGCAGGCTCGAGTAGAACAGCATCACCTTATGCAGTGTATTGCTTCTGTGCGGGTGGCACAGCAGCTGTGTGACGTTGGTGCTCACAATGGGTCCCTGCATGGAGAAAACATCCCCTCTTGCCTGTGCTGCAGGGAGGATGTTGGGTCCACTTGTATTCAGATGCAGGCAGTGCTGTGTCCCAACAGCTGATGCAAGGGCCCTGCTGCCAGCATGGGGACTTTATTCACCCCCACTGCTGCCTGAGGAACCACAAAGCCAGCTCTAGGGCTGCACTATAATGTGGTACACACTAGAGTGAGAGGGAGGCCTTGTTACGGGTCGGTCTATACCCTGTGGGGACCCTCTCTGCATGGACACAGCCAGAGACGCAGCCCCTACTCAGGGACATGCGCAGCACCCAGGCAGGCTGGCTCCCCTTGGTGACACACAGGCAGTGAGCCCCGTGGTGGAGCTGCGTGACGCCAGAAGCGGAGACAAGTCTCATATTTGGGCACGAAGCAGGTTATTGGAGGCTGGGACCCAGCAGGCGGCTGATAACCCTGCTGATAACGGCTCCCACCGCACCTCGCCATCCCCATTGGCTCCTGCCAGCAGGGGCTGCCTATATCTCCCCCTCCCCATCCTGGGCTGCAGGCTGTGCATGTGGGGCACGATGATGCCTGCCAGGGTGCTGGGGTTGCTCCTCAGTTTGCAGCTCTGCATGGGTGAGTCGTGGGGCAGTAGGGTGGCCGTGGGACAGGGGGGAAGCAGAGGGGCAGGGTTTGCAGCCAAGGGTCGGCCACCCCCTGGCTCAGCCATCTCCCCGGGGTGCCCACAGGCAGCGAGGAGCTGCGGCTGGTGGATGGCGGTGGGCGCTGTGCTGGCCGGGTGGAGGTGAAGCATGAAGGCGAATGGGGATCCGTCTGCAGCTATGACTTCGACTGGGACATAAAAGGGGCCAGTGTGGTGTGTCGTCAGCTGGGCTGTGGCACGGTGGCCCACGCATCCCCATATGCCCCATTCGGGCAAGGCAAGGGACGCATCTGGCTTCATCCCTTCTTCTGCCGTGGCACTGAGACCAAGCTGGAGAACTGCCCCCACTTTGGCTGGGGGAACCACTTCTGTGGCCATGAGTGGGACGTTGGGGTGATCTGCTCAGGTGAGGTGGGGTGTCTGAGATGGGAACAGAATGCCAGGACCCCTGGGCATGGCTGAGGCCAATCCCTGATGCAGAGGCACTGGAGCTGCGGCTGGCGGACGGTGGAGGACCCTGTGAGGGGAGAGTGGAGGTGAAGCTTCGGGGACGCTGGGGCACAGTGACAGATGATGCCTGGGACATGGATGATGCTGAGGTGGTGTGCCAGCAACTGGGCTGCGGCTCAGCTGCTGGCGCCTACTTTGCCTCACGATTTCGGTCAGTAGATGGCCCCATCATGTTGGCCTTTATTGACTGCCATGGAGATGAGGCTGCCCTGTGGAATTGTAACATTCAGGGCTGGGGTCCCTACAATGGTCCTCATGATTATGACATTGCTGTGGTCTGCCAAGGTGAGAGCTGGGGGCATATGGCACTATGGGGAGCCCATCACTCACATCCCCCTGCCCAGCAGCCCACTTCCCTTGGCAGGGTTCTCCCGGCTGGCCGGTGGGGACAGTGAGTGCTCAGGGAGACTGGAGGTGCGGCAGGGCCAGGCCTGGGTCAGCATCTGTCACGGCCACGTGGACCTCATGGCCGCCCACGTCGTCTGCAGAGAGCTGGGCTGCGGTACAGCACTGGCCCTATATGGGACTGAGCAATTTGGTGCAGCAGAGGGGCCATTCTGGCATGGTGCCTTTGAGTGCAACGGCACTGAGCCCCTCCTGTCCACTTGCACACAGCGGCCTCCGCACATCCAGACCTGCATCCAAACCACAGCCATCATCTGCTCCTGTAAGTGCAATGGCTGTGGATCTGCAGGGGCCCTGTGCAGTGTGGAGTGCTCAGGAGGTCCCTCACTCCACCAACCCCTCTCTCTGCTGCAGACTACACCGGGTTACGGCTTGTGGAGGGCGGCTCAGCCTGCACCGGGCGGGTGGAGGTGGAGGCACAAGGGGTGTGGGGACCCCTGTGTGCCACTGCCTGGGACCTGCCCGATGCCCACGTCCTCTGCCACCACCTGGGCTGTGGCTCTGCTCTCTCCTTGCCCCCGCCAGGCCTTTTTGGGATGGGTATGGGGACACTGCGGCGTGATGCCCTCAGGTGCAGTGGAAGTGAGCGGCATCCAGGCGAGTGCCCTGTGGAGGTACTGGGGCAGCCCGCCTGCCCTCCTGGGCACACTGCTGCCATCAACTGCTCAGGTGGGTGTGGGGACCATGGGAAGCTCCAGGAGGTGGGGAGCAATGCCAGTTCCCACAGCACAGCCGGGCTGTTGCAGGTGTCACCGAGCCCCTAAGGCTCCACGGTGGGGAAAGCCGTTGCGACGGACAGCTGGAGGTGGCCGTGCGCCCCGGTGTCTGGGCCCGTGTGTCTGTGGGGCTGTGGGACAATGGCACTGCCACCGTGGCGTGCCGGCAGCTGGGCTGCGGTGTGCCTGAGAAAATCTATGCAGCGCCGGCCAATGGCTCGGGCCCCATGGAGCTGCAGGAGCTGCGCTGTGTGGGCACCGAGGAGCTCCTGGCACAGTGTAACATTTCAGGGATGGCCACAGAGCTCAGCAAGAGCCCTGTGGATTTGGCCATTGCCTGCTCAGGTGAGTGCACAGGGAAGGGCCACAAGCACGATGCCGCCAGCCCCATCCTCAGCCTCAAATTCTCACACAGGAAGCAAGCAGCTGAGGCTGGTAGGCGGCCCGGGGCGCTGTGCCGGCAGGGTGGAGGTGTACAGCAAGGGCACGTGGGGCACCGTCTGCCAGGACACCTGGACCCTGCAGGATGCCACCGTCGTCTGTCGCCAGCTGGGCTGCGGATGGGCCCTGGAGGCACCTGGCTCCGAGCGCTTTGGGCCTGGCACTGGGACGCTGTGGCCTGGTGCCGGGGGCTGCTCTGGCACAGAGGATGCTCTGTGGCACTGCGCAGCCAAAGTGCAGCGTGGCTGCCAGATTGGAGGTGGAGCGGGCGCTGTGTGCTCAGGTGAGTGCCACCATCCCTCTGCATGGGAGCAGCCCCACTGCCCTCAGGGTGCAGTGATCCCCTGACCTCGTTGCAGGGCTGCTGGACCTGCGGCTGACGGGAAGGAGCAGCAGATGCAGTGGATACCTGGAGGTGCTGCATGAGGGGACGTGGGGTCCTGTTTGTGCCAACGGCACCAGCCTCGCCACGGCCACTGCCGTCTGCCGCCAGCTGGGATGTGGCACTGAGGGAATTCTGGCAGCCATCGCTGCAGAGGGCTTGGAACCCGCCTGGCTGAGCTGGGTGAGTTGTGAGGAGGGAGCCCGCTCGCTCTGGCGCTGCCCCTCAGCGCCATGGCAGCTGCAGGAATGTGACACCACTGGGATCACCTACATCTCCTGTGAAGAGGACACCAGGGACAGCAGTGAGGCTACCAGCCCAGCCCCAGGTAGCAGCCACTGGGACAGAGACACCCCAACAAAAATGGCTTTGTCCTCACTCACTGTCCTCTGACTGCTGCCATGAGATCCCCACGGGGCCTCACGCTTCCTATCACTGCCCCACAGCTCTCACCCACAGCGCCGTCCCGCTGACTGCAGCGCCAAGCAGGGTGTCAGCACTCACGCTGCTGTGCGTGGTCCTGGGGACGCTGCTGTGCCTGGCCCTGGCCGCCCTGGCAGTTCTGGCACACCGCACACGGGCCCAGAGCCAAGGTGGGCACCGCTCTGCAGGTTCTCCAGCATGGGGCAGAACCTTGGGGACACTGGGGGCACTGTTGCCATGCACGCTGCCTTGCAGGCCCCAGCAAGGATGCTGCCTCTGAGGTTGTGTATGAGGAGCTGGACTACAGCCTGATGCCTGATTACCAGGAGGTGCCCAGCCACACAGGTGGGAGCGGGAGAGTCCCTGGGGCTTGAGGCTGTCCTCATGCCCTGCTGTGTCCATAATGCTCTTCCTCACCTCCAGGCTCCCTGTCCCTGGGCTCAGGGAAAAAGGTGTCGGAACCCAGTGGGGATGGTGCAGAGGAGAGCAACCTCCAGGTGTCCTCAGGTAGGGGCACGGGCACAGAGGAGCACTATGAGGACAGAAGGGCACAGGGCACCCTTCAGAGGGTACACAGGAAAGCAGCATTGATGGGGAGGTGAGGGCACGAAGCCCCTCCCATCTGTATCCTCACCAATGTCCCATCCATGTCTGTTGCAGACTCCCTTGCTGAGCCCCATCACAGCCCCTCACATGGCTACGATGATGCTATGGCTGTGCTGGAGGTGTCCGTCTCTCCCCACCTCGGGGACAATCCAGCACAACCACCCGAGGACACAGGATATGACGACGTTGGTGTCAGCACCCTGGGGACATCGCTGTGAGCAGCCTGTGAGGACATGGCTGGAACAGGGACCTCTGCTCCCAAGAAGGGGCAGCCCTGTTCTTGGCAGCATCACCTTTCCCTGCCTGGTGCACAAAACAGCACCAAATTGCTCCATTCTCCTTCCTGAAGCTCGGACACAACAGCAAGTTGACTTGTATAAATAATTTTCTGTAACTCTTTCCATATGAGTATCTCTTCTTTATTAAAACCCCAAATCTGTGGAGAAACTCGCTTCCAGCCTTGGATTCCATACCTGATTCTGTCAGCCACCCCTTGCGGTGCTGGGGCAAAGAGAGATTTCAGAGATCTCCCCTTTGGCTCTGGGCACGGGGGTAACAAAGACAAGAGCATGAAAGCTGACAGCGATGAGGTGGGACGGCTCCCATGACTGCTGCGCTGCAGTGGAAGGACAACAAGGACGCGTGTCCCCACAGGCACACAGGTGCAGGCACGCTGCCACACGCTGCGGTTTCAGCCGGCAGGCAGCTGAGCAGCACCCGGCCGTTCGCTCACTCCGCCCCTGCCCCCAGTGTGCCATGGGGGAGAGAGCTGTAAACAGCCTCGAGGGCAGATACAAACAGAAAAGGGCAGAAAGCAGTTACAGAAATTCAGATGATAACTGTAGTGTGTGCATCTCCACACACATTCACAGCCTTTTCGCACACGTTCTGATAAGCAAACCTGAGTCAGCTGGCTCTCACCCTGCGCTTGCTGGGAGGATCTGCACTTCTGGGGACACCTCCGTTGGCAGTGGGAAGAGCACCC